GTTTACTTATTTATTTCCGCCCTCACTTCTTTGACTCTCGCAGTTCCCTGCGGATGGCTCCTCCCCGTTTAGTTGCATCCGCGACTGTTTATTATTATTTTTTTTCTTTTCCTCTTTTCTTTTCGTTTTCTCTCTCTTTGCGCCTTTTCCCTTCAACCCCGGCCTTGGCACCCGCCGCCGGCATTTACCGCTTGTGTGTGTGTGTGTGTGTGGGGGGGTGCAGAGCCAAAGTGAGTGGATGCCGCCGAAGGGACGGGCAGCTGCCACGCGGCCAAAGGCGGCAGGGCCTGCCGATGCCGCAAAGAAAAAGAAGCCGAACGCCGCCGCGCCGGACGCCCCCCCGCCGCCGATACCCGACGGCCGAGAGTTGTGGCTTGCGACGGACGCCCTGCAAAAGACCAAGGCGCTGCGCAACTACTTTCAGCTGGAGCGCGACAGAATCATTTCCTTCTGGGAGGTGAGTAAGAAGGAGCTGGAGGAGCTCAGGACGGAGCTGCGGCGGCGCGAGGACGAAAAGGCCGAGGCCGCGGAGCGCCAAGAGGTAGAGACGAAGGTGTTCAAGCAAAAAATCCGGCACATGATGTACGAGCACCAACTCCAAATCTCCGAGATGACCGGCGAGGCGGAGCGGACGTTGGCCATACGGGAGGAGGAGTACCGCCAGAAGGAGCGGAACGCCGGGAGCGAGATTCGGGACGCCAAGTTGATGCTGCAGGCGCAGGAGAACGAGCACCGCGATATGACCGCGGCCCTCACCCTCTCGCACGACCAGGACATCGCGGAGCAGCAGCTTGCCTTTGAGCGCAAAAACAAGGAGATGCATCTCATGTACGAAAAGAAAATGAGAGACTTACGCGAGGAGATGGACCAGCGTCGCCGCGAGGAGATCAGCCTAATAGAGCGGCGCAAGAGCGATCACATTGCCGAGCTCCGCGAGATGCATGAGCGCACCTTTAGGGAGATGAAGGAGTACTACAGTGAGATCACTTCAAACAACCTAGAAACCATCCGCACCCTCAAGGATGAGGTGTACGCCAGGAAGCGCACGGAGGCGCACAACGAGCGGACAATGATGGATGTGGCGCAGCGGAACAAGAAGCTCACGGAGCCGTTAGCGAAGCTGCAGCGGCAGAAGCGCGAGCTGGAGCAGGACCTTATCAACTACGCTAGTGACAAGGAGAAGCTTCGGGAAATGAAGACGGAGGTGCGAGAGCGCGACCAGGAGCTGCGCACACTGTTGTGGGAGCACGAGGTTCTTTCGCAGCGTTTCGTCAAACTAGAAGAGGATCGCGACATCATTCTCAACAAGTACAACAAAATGTTGCAGGAAATTCAGCAAAAGGCAATCTTCCGGCGGGTTCTTATTCAAAACAAATTGGAACTTGTGGAGTCGCAGCTGGAGGGGCGCGATGCTCGTCTAACGGAGTTGTTGAAGAGGGCCAACATCGACCCTGAGGGCATAAGCGAAATTGAACACAGAGTGCGTGACTTGTCCTTGGAGAAGGACACCATGATTGGCGACCTCCAGCACCTCATTGCCCAGTTGACTGCGCGGCAGCAGGTGATAGTGTCCACGTATGAGGCATACTTGAGGGGAAACGGCATATCCGGCGTAAGAGGGTAGCGCACTGCTGTTTCCGCGCAAATGTAAAAGTGGCCTTGCGGCTCTTGAATGTATTTTTTTGTCTCGTTTGCTGCCTTTTTTTTGTTGTTGTTGGTTCCTCTGTGACTCCCCCAATGCACTTCCTCTCCTCTCAAAGAGGGCTGTGGGAGAGGCGCATGCGCGTTGGAGTCTAGGCGACTCTGTGACTCGCTCGCTCGCTCTCTCTCGGTTTGTGTTTGGTACACCGAAGCCGTGCCAATGATTGCAGCGCCGTAGAAAACTCTTCTGTTGGTTTCTCCCCATTTTTTTTTTTTGCTGCCTCACCCACGTGACTCCTGTGTGCCGCCGCCGCTGTTGTTATTGTGTACTGGTAAGGGAGAGCAATGCCTGTGTACGAGGTGGCAGCCAGGAAGAGGCGTCCTGCGGTCGTCAGGTCAAACGGCGCGCCAAAGCAGGGGGCAGCTGCGAGGGCGGCCGCGAGGAGTAAAGCTAAAGTTGTCTCTAATGATAAAAAGGAAAATAATGCGGAGGATGAAAAGCCTGCGGCCATGGAATTCAGTGAGCCGGCGCAGTGGGTAGAACGCATGGCACTGACATCGACAAAGTCGTTGCCAGCGGACCTCAACGCCGACGATGACCCAAAGCGTGAGGAGGTCTTTCTCCATCAGGCCCTGTTGTCCGTTTCGCGTGGGCTCTCCCTCTTGGAGGAGGCGGGTGTGCCGTGGAAGCGCCCCGCCGACTACTATGCGGAGATGTTTAAGGACGACGTGCAGATGAGTCGCATTGCGGCGGCGATTGAGAGCTCCAAGGCCCGCATCGAGACCCAGGCCCACCGGCGTGCCATGAAGGACCAGAAGAAGTACGGTAAGGAGGTGCAGGCGGAGGTGCTGCGCCAGCGGGCCAAGTATAAGCGGGACATGGGCGAACGCCTCACTGAGTGGCGGCGCAAGCGGAAGGGCAACGAAGAGTTGCGCGACATCCTGAACGACGATGAGGCTGCGGGAGGCGGAGGTGGGCGTTCTTCTCAGCGCGCGAGGGCTCCAAAGCAGAAGGGCCTGCGCCCTGGCGGCGGCGGCGGCGGCAAAAAGCGCCCTGGGAAGAACGCCCGCCGTCGGCGGTAAACGAGGGACCGAGAGCGAGGGAGGGAGTGTGTGTGTGTGTGGGAGTGGCAGTGGCAGTGAGCCCCCGCCCTGCCCTTCGCTCCGGGTCCGTCACGTAGTGCCTCGGTTAAGAGAAGCGCCGCTCGTTGCAGTGCGGCAATGCGCTGCCATCGCCGTTGCTGCTACTTTTTTTTTATTATTATTGTCGTTGTTGTTGTTTTCGCCTTGTATTTTTCGCGCCTCTCGCGCCTTGGCTCCCCTCCTCAACCCGCTCCCCTCGGCGGCAGCGGGAGAAGACACTTTTTTTCGCCCACCCGCTTTCGCCTCCTCTCTTCCCCCTGCCCCCCCTCCTCAACGTCAGTTTCTCTTCAATCAAAACCAAAACCCAAACAGAAAAACAAAAAAAAAACAAAAAAAACAAACCAAAACAAAAACCCAGAGTAATACGGCAGCAAACGTCGAAATAAATTGCGACGGGCGCATTTTGTAATGTCGTCCAAGTGGCTCCCAGACTTTGTTCTTCAACGCGGTCGCGAGAGCACAAGCTACAGCTCCACTCGCGGGAAGGTTTCCAACCCGTTTGACTTGGTTACCGAGGACGCGTGCATCATAACATTGGAGCGAACGTGCCGCCACCGCACTAAGGTGCTCGCCGTCCGCGAGCGGATACATAAAAAGTTTCGTGGATTTGCTGATAATGTGGAATCTGAGTTTGTTCTCAAATCTTCCCTCACACAGGTGGGCGTCAACGCGGAGAATATTGAAGTTACGCTCGACCGGCATGCGTTGCGGGCCGAGATTCGCATGGACTTGGTCGCCTTGGCGCCCCTCGCCGTGCTTATGCTGGATTACATCCTGCAAGGCGCGTATATTGGAAAACTCTTCGCAGTGGAGGGGGTTCGAAGAGTGCGGGACGTAAGCTATATCAACCGCCTCCTGTACGCCCTGGATCAGGCGGGTAACTTTCTCCTCAACTACGGTGACTCTGCGGAGCCAAACTGGGAGCTAAAGGTGGTGGATGGTCGCGTGGTGGCGTTTCTGCCCATTCTTGACGGCACCTTCGCCTACAATGGTGAGGTGCATGGCCTGCTGCCGACCATAGGGGCCGCATTAAGTAAACGAACACGCTATAAGGAACTCCTTCGCCTGCACCAGGAGTTTCGCCCGAACCACACACGTGTGGCTACGGCAGGGGGAATTCTACTGGTGCGTGGCTATGCACTGCATCTTCGGACATTGTTTGGACGCGTGGTGGACGAATTCCTCCCCCCTGGCCTGAAGTCGATGAGTTCACGCGTCATTGAGCCTGACTCAAGCTCCAGCCAAAAGCTGCGGGAGCGGACCTTTGTTTTCCACGGGGACTCCACCGTGGAGCTAACGCATGTTCCCATTGAATTTTTTACTCTGGAGTCCTACCGCGAGCACGTCCCCTTTTCGTTGCGAAAGACGCTCTCGCAGCGGTGTGCATCTAAGGCAGACATCCTTTCCGTCTTTAAGACGGCCCCCAAGGGAAGCGAATGCTGTTGCACGTATATCTGTAAGGGTGGCCAGTTTAATGAGCTGACCTCAGAGGACTGGGTCTCAGCGGACCCCAAGTTGCTGCCGTACGTCGGCTACGACGATCCCGAGCGCCAGCAAGAGCTCGCCCAGCAAGCCGTCTACCAGGAATGCGAATACAGCATCCTCTCCGCCATCGCAGCTGGGGATATAACAAGCGATGGTGTCCTCTTGACCCGCTACTTTCCCTCTCCGTGCCTAAAGTCCTTGATTTTGTCCTGCACTGTCGGAAGGAAGGTGCGGGCCATCTTCTTTGCGAGGGCCTCACGGCATCACGGGGAGTTCTTTAGCCAAGAGGACAGTGGGCTTCTGTGTGACCTCAACACATTTGGGATCGCCGTCTTCTACGTGGATGAGGCGCACGGCGACATTTACCAATTTATCCGGCGCCAGGACCGTGATTCCGGGGTTTTTGTGCCAGTGGAGCGGCGACAGGAGTACCTGCTTGCCACCTTCTTTGGCGTCTACGGCTCCAACATGGTGGAGGGCGACTTTGAGGCGGAGCTGGGGTTCCTCCTCAACTGCATTTTGCAGCTGCGGCACTACTGCAACCACCCCCTGCTGAACCCCAACAAGACGCTGGCGCTCGTCACGGGCGGCGGCCCTGGCGCGATGGAGGTGGGCAATCGTGTTGCCAAGTCGCTGGGCATCTTGTCCTGCGGCCTGTTTGTTGACTTCGGCACCCTCTCTCACAGCCCCGGGGCGACAATTAACGAGCAGAAGAAGAACCCGTACATTGACGCCTTCATGACGTACCGCTCAAACAAGCTGGTGGAGCGTCAGTCGGACTTTAACTTGGACTTCCCCATTTTTCTCACCGGAGGCATCGGCACGGACTTTGAGTACGCCCTTGAAGAGGTCCGTCGGAAGGTGGGGGCCGTGCCCCCGAACCCCATCCTTCTCTTTGGGTCGGTGGGGGAATACACGAACAAGATCACCGGACGCTACCGAGAAAATCTGCGAGCCGGGACCATCAAGGGATCGGAGTGGATCTGCTCTGTTCCGTGGCTCGTGACAACGGGGGCAGAGGCATGCGAGGTTTATCGACGCTTTTTTAACGGTCAACTTCCTGTGGGACCCAAGGCCCCCCTCAACGACCGTGGTTTTGTTCTGGCTTCTGAGTACTTTGCGGAGCACTCCATGTAGACTAGGGTGTAGATGTCTATGTGTATAGATGCTGCAAACCAACGCAACCGGTTCTTTACTGACGCCTACGCTTTGCCTGACTAATTCTTCTTGTTGAGTGGGATGAGACACGCCGATACACACACATATATATATATATATATCTGTATATATATATACACGCACGCACGCACGCACGCACGCACGCACGCATTTATTTATATATGTATATCCTGCGGAGAGAGGGAGTGGAGGGGAGGGTGCGGTGGAAGATGAATTTAGTCATTGCTTTTCTGTTCTTTTTTGTATGGATTATTTTTCCATCTATTCCTCCTTGAGGTGGCTAAATGCGCAGTGGTTCTACTAACGTACGCCGCCACCCCGCCTCTGTATGTACGTGTGGGTGTGTGCGTCCCTTCACGGCGCTGCATCCTTTTGTTTCTCTTTTGTTGGTTGGTTGGTTGGGTTGCCTGTCGCTTTCTCTCGCTAATTTCGGTAGCAACTTTTGGGAGAAGCGCGGGCGGTGAGGAGTTGTCCATCGTTCTCTCTCTCCTTGGAGCACTTTAATGCCCCCCCTTTTTTCCTCGGCCTAGCTGCGGTGGGGCCCGTGAACGGGCCTTGGCTGAGCCGCAGGAAAAGTGGGGCGAAACTGTTTCCATTTGCCCTCCCACAACACCCCCCGCCGCCCCCTCCCCGTCGGGCCCGCCTCGCTGCCGTTTTTTTTTCTTCTCTTGGGCCGTTGAGGAGAGGCGCGGGTGGGCGGGTGTCCGACGGAGCCGCCCGTTTTTTTTTGTAAAAGTCACGCGCGTGCGTAGAAAGCCTGAAATTCGCGTATATACAAGCCGTTTTTTGTGTATCTTTTTTTTTATATTTGCGTTGCCTGTTTTAAAACTGCGTCAGCGGCCGCTGGTGCGCTGGCCAGCCTCACTTGGGCCGCTTCCGCTCTCTGCCTGTCTCCGCGCCTATTGCCGCTGCCGCGCGCGCGCGGGGTGGTGGTGGTTCGTGCTGGCGCCCACCGGCTTTTTCTTCCACTTCCGTTGCTTTTGCTTCGCTAGCGTCGGGCGTCGCCCCTCTGCTTCTCTCCCCCCGCTCGCCGCCGTGCCGTCCCGCAGCTGGCGGGAAATGAAGCACTTCCGCGGGTGGCTCGTCGTGTGCCTCGTGTCGGCGGCCCTCTTTATGCTGGTCGACATTCCGGTGGCGCAGCAGCAAAACCTGCGCACCCGCACGATATTTGTCGCCGTCATGACCCCCGCGGTGTGGGCCCTCTACCTCGTGCTGCTCTACGTCTTCCTGCACAGGCCGCTGCAGCGCAGCACGGGGGTGTACCGAAAAGGCGCCGCCTGTCGCCGCGGCGCGAGCGACGACGGTGTCTTTCTCTGGTTCAAGGAGCAGCACAAACTCAACGCGGTCCTCGTCAGGCTGCAGTCTGAGACGGAGAGCGTGGAGCGGCTCTCCTCGGGCCGGCAGCCGGCCTCTCCAGTCGGTCGCAACTCGCCGACGCTGTCGCTCGTCAGGGGCGCTGCAGCGGCACCCACGGGGGGCAGCCCGATCTTGGCGCCACCCAACGGTGCCTTGTGAGGCGTTTGCAGGCACCGACGTGGTGCGTAGCTGCGGCCGGTTGCTACACCCACTTCTTTTTCCTCTCTTCATCCTCTTCTTTGACGTTCTGTGGCTCCTTCGTCGCACACGGCTGCGCGCTGCCGTACTCGCTGTCTTGCCTCCTCGCCGCCGCGGGTGTGGCTGCCGCCCTCTCGTTCCCCTTCTTATTGCTCTTCTTCTTCTTCGTGGCGTCCCCGCTGGCCGGTTTGCCGGGCGCGCGGCGGCGGCGGCGACGACGACGCGGCAGGTGTGAAAGGGAGCAGCAGGGAACGGAAAGGGTGCAAGGGGAAGTGGACAGGTAGACAAGCGACAAGGCGGCAAGGTCAAACACAGGAACACAAAAAGGAAAAGGAAAGAAAAAAAGGAAGAGGGCGAATGCGCCGCGGTGTGCGGATCTTTCTTTTGGGTGTCGCCCTGGCACTCTGGTGCTGTGCGCTGCACGCCCACGCCTTCGCCTTCGACCTGCCGGCCACGAAACACCGGTGCTTCGTGGAGGAGGTGCCGAGCAGCACAGAGCTGCGCATCTCCTTCGCGGCGCTGCCGGGGTACGCGCAGTTCCTGGACGTCGTCGTGACGGGCCCCGAGGGCCACGTCTACTACTCCGCCACCGCGCAGGACCGTGGCAACTTCCACGAGGTAATTGCCGGGGGCGGGGACTTCACGGTCTGCTTTCACTCCCGGCTGGCGCAGGGGGTGAGGTACGCCGAGGGGATGAAGCGCAGCATTAGCGTGGACATTCACACCGGAAGCGAAAACAACGACTACTCGAAGCTGGCCACCAAAGAGAAGCTGCGGCCGATTGAGGTCGAGCTGCGCGTGCTGGAGGACGCGGTGCGCTCCATCCACTCCGAGTACCTCTACTACAAGGAAAAGGAGGCGGAGATGCGCAACGCTAATGAGGCGATGACGGTCAAGGTGACGTGGTTTACCGGCTTCATCATCCTCATCTTTGTCCTATTCTCCATGTGGGAGCTGCGCCACCTGAAGTCGTACTTCCGGAAGAAGCGCCTGATTGATTGAGGTGTGCGTGGCGCGGACAACGTGCGGTGGGTGGAACCTGCGAGCGCAGGCACCCGTTAGGTAGCAGCCAAAGGAATCGCTGCTGCTGCTTCCACGCTTTCCCTTTACTTCAGCGGGCATTGAGACGGCGATGTCTAAGAAGCCGCAGAGGAAGGAGTAGGGGGCGGCAGAAAGGAGGGGGAAAAAAAGAGGAAAAAAGGAAGTAAAACGCCATATTTGTGTTTGCTCCTTCTACTGCTGCTGCTGCTGCTGCACAATCTCAACCACAAGCCGCCTGCGGCGGTGGTGGCTCGCAATTTGTTCATCGGTCTGGCGCGTCTGCGTTATAGTTGTGCCGCATGCACCGTCGCCCACCGTCAGCGATGCCCCCCTCCCCTCCTCTCTCTCTCTCTCCCCACACACACACATATAAACTCTTATTCTAGTAGCCCTCTACCAATCTTTCCTTATTTGCATCTCGTGTTGCTGCGGCGTAGCCACGGCGCTGACTACTCACCGGGTCGTAGCTGCGCAGCTGCCGACGCTGGGGCCCACCTTGGCTCTACGCGAAGCCGCCCCACGTAGTTGCATGCGCCTGCACGCAAAACAGTTGCCTTCGGTTCTGATTCTGCGTGGGGCCTGCAAAAGCTGAAGATGGCGGGCGTACTTGGCGCAGAGGCAGTGACGGAGCTTGATAAAATTCGGTGCATCGCCAAGGCGCTGGGAGACGCCCGACGCTCTGCGCACGCCTCCTTTAGCCCCGGCGAGGGCACTATTGCGCTGTCGCAGGAGTCTGCCGAGGACACCGCGGCCGTCCTACGCGATGTAGGGGCGGAGCTGGCTGCCGCTGCGGAGGGGCTCGCCACCGCCGTTGAGGCTCAACTGGCCGAGTTTTTCAACTACATGAGGGAGAAGGAGGCTTCGGCCGTCGTCGCGGTGCTGCGCACCCGCAGCGTTGTGCCGGACGGCTTTAAACTAGTGCTTCAGGAGGATTTCCAGGCGGCATGTGCCACGGCCTCGTCGTGCAGCTGCGAGGCGCCTCAAACGTCTGCTGGTAACTTGCCGCAAAACATCACGTCGCCGACTAGCCAGCGGCCACAGCTGCGTGCGGCGGCCTCCTCGCTGCAGACATGTTTATTTCTAATGCTGGAGGCGCTGCTTGCGCGCGTCAGAGCCACCCGCGCAGCGGTGTATCTTGAGGACTCCCCCGAAAACCCTCACGTGCTCTGCCGCGTGGCGCAGATCTGCGCCGAAGACACTCTGCCGCTTGAGGTCAGCTGCACCAGCAACAACATGCTTGTCACCGCCGTGCGGGGGGGGATGGCCATAAACTTCGACAACGGCGGCACGCCCCCTGACAACGACGGCAGTAAGTCCCCGCACCGCGTTGAAGAAAAAGTGCGTCGCCTCTTGCGGGTGCGAAGCGGCATCATCGTGCCCATCGGTAACTACGGCTGCGCCTTGGTGGCCGAGAAGGCGGCCGGGGAGCCGCAGCTTTTTACGCCGTTTGACGAGTACCAAGTCTGGGCCCTTGCCAGCCTCTGCGAGGGCATCTTCCCGCGGTACGCGCGCGAGGCCTTTGTGAAGATGCCGTGGCGCCCAGCCGTGGGAGAGCTGCGCCAGTGCACCTGCCTTCCGCCCCTCCCCAGGCCGCGCCGATGTGGAGACCCGCCGCGGCCAGTTGCGGCCGCCTCCGCCGCGCCCTCCCTGGAGACGCTGCCGTCCGTGCCGAAGAGGCTCACCGTGCTTCGCGCCTCCGGCAACAAGGTGAGCATCATCGAGGACCCCGCAGGCCTCCCGCGAGTCCACCTGACGTTTGAAGGCCTCTTCCAAGAGGCGGCTGAGTACGTCAGAAACATCGAGGAGCTCTGGCACAAGGCGGTGGATGAGGTGAATCAGCTAAAGATTTGCCTGGACGAGCAGGTCCACAGTCTGGACGCCAAAACGCATCAAATCATCGGGCTGGAGGGGGAGGTGCGCCGCCTCAACGGGCACCTTCTCAGCCTTCGGGGCACAGTGACATCCTCAAAGCGCGGAAATGTAACTTAGCTTCGTTTTCTCCTCCTTTCTGGGCTTGCATCCCTTCCGCGTTCGCTTCGCCCTTTTCCCCTTTCCCCTGGTGCCACATTTAACTTATGTCCTTCGTTTTTTTTCCTTCGTTTCTCATATTTGTCGTTTCATCGATGTCATGCTTCCACGTTCTTTTCCTTTTTTTTATGCTTCTCCAGGGACTTTCGTTAACAGCATGCCATTCGTGAAGGTTGTGAAGAACAAGGCGTACTTCAAGCGCTTCCAGGTGAAGTACCGCCGCCGCCGCGAGGGCAAGACGGACTACCAGGCGCGGCGCCAGATGGTGCTGCAGGACAAGACCAAGTTCGGGACGCCCAAGTACCGCCTGGTGGTGCGCATCACGAACCGCGACATCATTGCGCAGGTTGTGCTCGCGAAGGTTGTGGGCGACGAGGTTGTGATGGCGGCGTACTCGCACGAGCTCCCGCAGTTCGGGATCGAGCACGGCCTGACGAACTACGCGGCGGCGTACGCGACCGGCCTGCTGCTGGCGCGCCGCATGCTGACGAAGCTCGGCCTCGCCGGCAAGTTCGAGGGGGCGAAGGAGGCGGACGGCTCCTACTCGGCGGTGCGGACGAAGTCCGACGACCAGGGCGACGACGAGGCGCGCTTCCCCTTTAAGGCGATCCTCGACGTCGGCCTTGCCCGCACGACGACCGGCGCCCGCGTC